AGGCAAGGGAAAGCCCGTGCAAAAGTTTTTTTTTTCTTTTTTTTTCTGAACGGGGGGGGAAGCAGCGAGGGGGCTTCCCGGGGGTGTCCTTTTAATGCAAAAAAAACCAAACAGCAAAGCATGTTTCTTTAACCCCCCCATGCAAAAATCTATTTTTTTAGAGGGGAGGCCAGAGGGCTTCCTGGGGGTGTCCTTTAATGCCAACCCCCCCTCGGGAGGTACGATTTTGTACCCCCCCTTGCAAAATATTTCCTCTTTGGAGGGGGGGGAACCGACGGCGCGGGGGCCTTTCGCCGCGTCCCTGGGAGGCAGCCGCCTTCGTTTTTAAGGCGTTGAGATCCGGGCAGCATCCACGGCCGTCTCCGACCGAGAGCTGGGCACTGATTTCAGGGTGAGGCCGAGCGTCGTCGGTAGCCGAGGCTGATGGAGGAGGAAATTTCGCGCGGGGTCTGGGGAGGGAGGGAGGTCAGCAAACCTAGGAATCGGGCGCCTGATCTGATCACCGCCGTGGAGGCCCCTGAAATGTGGAGGCCCCAGGCGCGCGCCTCCTGCGCCTGTGCGGAAATCCGCCGCTGCTTAAGCCTCCTAGTCTTTTCAATGAAATGAGATTCAAACTGGAATTCATAACTGCTATCTCAGAAACTTAGTGATATTCACAGAAAATAATGAGAAGCCTTAAACTTAATATTTTTCTCTGAAGGTTTGGAACCAGGTCATTATAGGCCAGGAAATCTTTCAGCACAGTCACATAATCTGCTTTGTATGCATTGTTACAAAGCATAACAATAAAATCTTTTTATACTTATCCAAAAATAAGCACCATTTTTAAAACATAGAATTTCACATTGAAGAAGAATAAATCAGAATTACTTTCCATCTCTTTGGGTTAAGGAACTATATTTTCCTTGATCCTAAAATAATTTTAGAGGTATTACTATGATATGGTAGTATATATTAAAAATGTTTTGCTGGGATGCTTCAAAGTTGACAAAAGTAATAGCTCTGGTGTCTAAGCTAATGATTAAACTAAGATTAAATAAATCAAAACATCCAGTCACTGCCTCTACAAATACCAAAGTTCTAGTATCCTTCTATAATATCAGGAAACATGTACATTAATGTGCATATGTTTTTCGTGCTTATCTTAAAAGGAAGTTTTCCTGTTTCTTTTTTAAATCTGAGAGTTTCTTCATCCATTATAAATGACAAACTTTACAAGAAGGGAACCATTTTGAAAACAAATAAAAGCTAAATATACGTGAAGAACATGGGCCAAAAACTTTATTTATTTTAAGAATACAGTTAAAGGAAATGTTCATATTTGAAAATAAATAAAAGTAGCCATGTTTTGAGCACAAATCCAAATAGATTTTGCCCTATAACCCTATAAAAGATACATCAACTGCATATGTTCTTCTTCTTAATTTAATATAACTAATGACAACCCTTCTACTCTACTCTAGCAGAGAACATATGAAAAATAATCCAGAATATGGCCTTCTGTTGCCAAAATATACAGCAACATATCATGCTAAAGGGCAAGCCTCATCATTAGCAAAATGAAATTCTAAAGAGAAAAATAATAAAGTTCTTTTTAAAAAAAAACTATCTAGTTTTTAATTATTCTGTGCCAACAGAAAAAAAACCAGATCTATGCTTTTTTTATCATCCTATAACTTTTGGGAAGAGAGAAGTGACAGCATGATTTATTGAAAGGAACTTCCTCCAGTACTGAAAGCTTATGTGTCTGGGGCAGATAATTTGCCTTAAACTTCATGGTGGAGACTGACTTCCAGAACTCCAGGCGAAATTTCCTCATTGATGAATGAGCTACCACATTGCTCTATGGATTGCTATATTGTGGCCATTAAAGAATGTCATCAAAGGCCTCTGGAAGAAAATGTGCCTTTTCCCTCCTTTCAGTTAAATGGGGATAGCAGATAGTAAAGGAAAGGTTTTGAATTGCAATCAAGGCATATTTACTTTTTAAAGGCCTCTCTCTCTCTTTTTAATTTAGGTGCCGTATTCTGAACTGGGAGGAAAAACTTTAGTGATGGCAGTATATGACTTTGACCGCTTTTCTAAGCATGATATTATTGGAGAATACAAAGTTGCCATGAACACTGTAGATTTTGGTCATGTGACTGAAGAATGGCGAGATTTGCAGAGTGCTGAAAAAGAAGAGGTAAGAGAATTATACCCTTTGTTAGAATTAATTCAGTTTTATTCTCTGCTTCTATGTTTCAGATTAATCTTAGGATAGTCTTTTCTAATGAAGAGACTCCATAGCACAAAACAAATTAAAGAAATACTTGATTGTACCTGTTAGAAGAGCAAGAAGGATAGAAATGAATAGCTAGGGCACATAACAGACAAAATGAAATTTTCAGACCTTTAGCTGCAATATTCTGATCTTAAACATCATGGCTATAATGCAGAAGAGCAATACTTGTACATCAATTGAACATGGAATATACACAGAATATGCATGTATTCAGGGTATCAGCTCCTGGGATGAGAAGTCCTGCAAGTAATCTGCTCCTGTGCCAAGGAATTGCTTTGCATTGAGACTTTTATTGATCCAATACTGGGCATCTTTTTTAAAAGGATCTTACTCATTTCTTGGGACCTGGAAAGTTTTCACTTATTGATGCAAGATAGTTCATACAGAAGTTAAGTGTAGCTAGGATAGTATAATATAGGTAATTTTTTAAGGTCACCTGAGTTTAGATGAAAATCTATATATGTGGAACATTATTGATTGATTGTTTGGCCAAATGCTGATTCAAATAAAAACAATATGATAGGTTCTGTTACATCAAGAAATGTTGCATCATTTTTTGCCTTTGTTTCCCCCTCTTCAAATTGAACTTTGGGAACCTGATAGATAATATAAATAGTAAAGTTAACCAAAAATATTTTTATTATTGATATTTGATTGATTTGGTTTCAAAGAGATAGCAAGTTGGAAAGTGTTTCCCAGTGCTTGAGTCTTTGTCTATCTTTTTATGATGTGTGTACCAGTTTTCTGTCTTCTTGTTCTAATCAGAAATCGTTCTCGGGAACCAATAGAGTTTTGAATATACTAAGGAAAATGGCCAAAAACAGCTTTGCAATCTTGATTATATGCTACTGGCATTTCTTCCTTGGGGCTTCATTTCCATATTTATTTGTGGCACATTGTGGTGGTGTAGATGACTCTTCCAGAGTTAAAATATAGAAGAAATACGGGTTGAAAAAAGTCTACCTTATGGAAACTAATGCAGTAAATAAACTAATGTTCCTTCCTGACAGTAGCCTAAATCAATGACAATATTTATTGGGAATGATGGGAATTTAAGTCAGCCCCATGTGAATGATATATAATAGTTAAGATTGTTTAGAAAGCCATTGGAAAAGGATGCTAAACAATTTGCCCTGAAGAATTATAAAAAGTACAACTGCAACTGTAGCTTGTTTGAAATATAATCAGAGAATATCTATTGATCATGTATGAGTTCATATATTGGTATTTAGGACTAGTTGAAATAATATCCTAGAGTCCAGAAGGAAGAATTGTTTGCCTAAAGTTGACTTATCATGTGCTTATATACACAGTTGTTAATATAGATTTCAATAGTACTAGACTGAAATAAAATTAATAAGATATTTATATGTCTCCATTTGTAGGGAGATTTTTCTTATGCCTGTATTTTTGCACAACCATGTGAAATGGTACAGTTTATGTTTGTCTAAATACAGTGAAGAAAGTCCATATTCTATATCACCCATATATCTTCTGTCTTCAAATTAGTTTAAACATATCCTGTTCCTTCCACCTCTCTTGATAGAATTTAGTTTCTGATAAATTCATCTTGATTTTTGTCTTGATGACATCCTTATAAAATATTCTGCCCAATACTGAATGCAGGACATTCCAACAATATTGCTGAATTGAAAATGAAAATTAGAGAAAAAAAGCATCCAAATGATATGAGAAATTTGTCAGCGTTGCCAGTTATTTAAAAAGTTGATGGGATCCCCTTTATTGTATGTAGTCAAGCAGTTGGACATTAATCTACCTGATAATTTCATTTGGATCCCTGTAGTGAGCAGTGAGTTACAATTCAGTGACCTGCATAGTCCTTCCAATTTTAGGCTTCAGTAATGGCCACTGGATTAGGAAAGACCATCTTTGGTTGTCTATATTTGATATGAGCCATAGGTAGTCTGTTGTGAGTATGTGAGTTGTGATAAGCAGCAAGATGGCTTGATATATTGAAACAATAAAATATCATGAGCTACCCAAATAAAACAACAAAAATTCATGCAAAGATTGCTGAGGCCAGATGTGCATCAGTGGGTATGTGTTTGGCTTGTTAGTGCTCAACAGCATGGTACCACAACCTGGCCCACTAATTATTGTAAAAACATAATTAAAATCAACTTAAAACCCTAAGCAACTGGATTCCATCCAAATTATACAACAAATGTAATTATGTTCCATTACTGCAAAGACATTTTATAACAGACTTCATTTCCTTTCTTTTTTTAATTACTGAATGTAATGTTTGTCATAAAAAACCAAATGTACAGTCTATTCACACGGATACACATTTTATGGAGAATTTTTTTCTTCATTTTATATCTATATATTATTAAAACCCTCACTATCATGACTTTTAACTGAGCAAAATGGTGCATCATAGGGCAACAATTTTTGAACCAAGGTACCTCAAATGGGCTAACTTACAGAATGTGTTTAAAATCTGGGATCCATAATTCCCAAAGGAATGAAATTTGTGGAAGTTGTGGCTACTTTAATGCCACTGGCTGCTGGTGAACTACAGGCTGCTGCAACGCTGACATACTCTTCATTTCCAGTGTTTCATGACAGTTTCTCAGACAATCCCTTGCTCCCTGCCCCCTGCAACAACAGCAGGTAATTTACCTGCTTTCTGGAAAGGGAAGGGAAGATTTCCAGTGTTCCCTGCCAGATTTCCAACAGGAAATTCAATGGGGAAGCCAGCAGGAAGTCGGAAGTCACTCCTGCTCCCAATGATTTTTTGCCTGCCCTTGTTATTCTGTTTCTCTTTGCTTCAGATAAGCAAATATCTTTGAAATGATCACCCAATGAGTATGGGTTATCTAATATACTACTAAAACTCTTGTGTCTTATGTAACCTTCAATTGGGTGAAATTGGAATGTATAGGACAACAGTTATGGAACCAATGTAACTCATATGAGCTAACTTACAGAATGCCAAGATCCATGACTCTGTGGGAACAAAATTTGGGAAAGCTGTGGCCATTTCAGCACCACCACTCCTTCCAATTACACTTCCCCAAAACCTGTAGGTTTTGTAGTGCACAGGAAGATGGGAGGGTTTATCCTCACCATCTGTCCCACCTCCCTCTGGCCTCTGCACCCAATCACTTGGCAGCACAGATTGACAGGTGAATGGCAATTGGGTATTTGGAATCAAGGCTAAAATTTTAAATCTCTTAATGGCAGAAGGTGGTAAGGGAACAACTTGGATGCCTTCTGGTGAGATGGGACTAGTTGAGGGATGCTGGCAATCAATGGGTGAACCCCCTTCCTCCCTGGAGTGAGCCCTTAGGGACATGCAGGGATGGGAGATGCTGGGGTACAGTTCTCCTCATGATCCATAGTTCCCTTTGTCCTCCCTTCCCTCAGCAAAGAGGAGGTAGTTCCTCAAGTTAGTCAAGGAGGAGAGGAGTGATTTCTATCATTCCTTGGCAGCTTCCCCACACAATTTCAGTGGGAAAGCTGGCAGGAAGTTGGAAGTCGCTCCAGCTCCCTCTGCATTTTTGCCCACTTGTGATCATTCTGTTTAGGTAAGGAAATATGTCTGAAAGGATTGCCCAATAGTTAACAGGTTGTCTAGTTTTCACCTAAAATTACAATAGGACTCAGTCACATAAAATCTTCATTTGTGACCTTAAGGGAAAAAAGCTTTTGCAACCCCTCTAATGACAGTTTGGCCATTCACTTAATCATCTCTAATTACTTGATTTTTTTCTCTCTTTATGTTTTTTTTTCTCTCTCTCTTTGCTGATTCACCTGCTATACATAATAACATCTACTTTTAATGACCAATGCATTGACCTACAAGACAAAAAGATTTGACATTCTGTTGCCCTTTTCATTGATAATTCACCCTATTTTCAATCCGCTTCCTAAAAGGGTCAGCAGTAAAATCAAAATATGGGTTTTTAAAGCAATCTGGGAGCCCCTGTCCTCTGTGTCTCATGACCCAAGTAAATTTATAAAACAGATTTATGGCATTTTCCATTTCTCTACACATGCACAAAACATTAGTGTTGATGTTTAAAAAGTATTTTAAAGATAAGAAGCAAATGTATATATTTAATAACTTCCATGAATTTTAAGAAGCTGTCATACTGTGCAGAAGACCAGGTTACCGAGCAGATAAATTCTATCTGAACAAGTCATGAATTTATTTTATTTGACTTCATTTAGCCTCCTTAATATCATACTGTATACGATTTCTACTTACTACATTCTACTTCTTCAAATTACTGTTGGTTAATAGATGGCAATATAAACAATAGCAGGCAATGCTGTCATTTCCAAAAATTGTTGGAGCCTACAATATGTGGCCATTAGCATGGCTGGAGCTGATAGGGAGGTAAATCCCTATGAATCCCTTGGTACACACTTAAATATTTGAATGAGAGATTATGTTAAATATTTTAAAAGGAAACAGTATGCAATATAATGCCTATGGAAATTCTCAGTCATCCAGGTCATGGTTGTCCCAAAGGTGCTTTTCCAAAAGGCAACTGGATTTTGTTTTTCCTTTTTTTTATAAGTTTTATTGGTTTTTAAAACATAAATCACATAATAGTCGGTTAACAGTGTGTTTGCTTATTTTACATTTGTAAGGAAAGATAGTTAACAATTGATTTCTATAATTCTAATCCACATATTCAAACAAATGTCTCTTTTTCTCTTAAATATTCTCTCTGGTGGGTCCCGTCATCTATATTCTTAATTTTCATTTTAATATTTTCAATATGTTTTGCTGAATCAGAGAGTTTTTCCATCTATTTTTCCCCAACCAATTATACAATTTATTCCAGATTTCATAATAATCTGTTTCACTCTTATCCTTGAGTTCTAACGTCAACCTATCCATTTCCACACAGGATAAAATCTTA